AGTTGAGGTCCAAGTACTTTATGAGAAATTCTATATAATTTAAAATAGATATGTTTAGTTGAAGATTGTTTAAGTTGATATGAGAAAATAAATATTCCTGTTTATTTGCACTTAGAAATACTCCTTGCTTTATTTTGACAATGTATAGAAGTAGTACCCATAAAAGATATCAGTGTAGAGGGGTTCATTTCACTTGGAGAAGTGGAAAACATGTTGATAAAAATGCGTTTATTCTTTGTCAGTGTCACTCTCTCCTATTCTTTCTCCTTTTTTTTTTAATGCAAATATTATTATAAGGATTAAGTAAGTGTGTTAGAGGTGGTTGTAATAAAATGATTTACAAAGCTCTAATGGCAGGATAGACCCTATGCTGAATTTCATGATTATATTTTAGACAATTTCACATTGTTAGCATAAAATCTTTTCTGTGACAGTTTGCCGTGCACGAGAGGCTGCGCTGGATGCCCAGTTTCTTGTCTTAGCATCCAATCTGGGGAAGGAGAAGGCCAATGAGTTACACTCTGAGATGACATCATTTGATGCAGCAACATTTGCGGAAGACTTGGTGAGTTCCAGCCTCTGAATTTGCCAACAGTTTTTTGCTGGAGGTTTGCCCTGTTTGTTACAGGATCATAAAACAAAATCCTCAGCTCATACATGGCAGCTCTGATGGAACTGAATGCTCTTCCTATGGATTTCTTTGATTAACTTTCTGTATCTGGTTAGTGTTTTTAATTGTTTTAAATTACGTATTAAGCATTTCCAATAGGGGAAAATCCAACTTAAAATGCAGAGACCCCCAAAAAAATTATTGCACTGCTGCTGCTTTATCACAGTTCAGTCAGTTCGTGCTCTTGAAGTCTTTGCACCTTTTTTTAAGTCACTCTTTTGTAGTTTCTCAGTAGCTAAGTTTCTTTATCCTGCCTACCATTTTCTGTGTTTTGGGATACAGTCCTTAAGGCCCTGTGTCACTGGCAGGACTTTGGATGACTTGAATGCTTTTAGATGTGACATGTTTGTCTTTTTGTCCTGTGGCTGGGTGGAAGAGTTGGTTCAGAATAGCTTTTAAGCAGGCTGTTGGGGTTTTTTCCTCCTTGAAAATTTTCCCTTATGTTACAGCAGATTAATAAGGAATCTGATTCTTTGGTCAGGTCTAGAGCTCTACAGTATAAAACCCCATCAAGTTCAGTTGTTTTGTTGAAGTTTTTCTTGGCTTAGTGTGGACTGGTGGATGCAGGAATAGGCCAAATAAGTTGTTCTGTGGTATTCCTGGGAATGTGTGGTGTTCAGAAATTGTGAGATATCTGAGCTCTCTGGTGCAATTTAAGTAATGCTCTGCTACTTCATATGTCATCGAAAATTTGTTGGAATCTAAGCAGTTTTATTTAACTGTGGCTCTTTTTTTTCTCAGCTTAACAGAAGTTATCTGTTTTCACAGTATGTTCAGGAAAGTCCTTATGCAGTGATGTTAAATATTAATCTATCAGGCAAACACCACAATACAATTTCATGGTTTCACCATGAATGTATCTCCTGGTTTAAGTGAATTTTCACTGCATCTTTTTTTATTTTGTAGCTGACCCTCATGGGTATAAATCGCATAGAAGTAGAAGAAAATGATAGTGAACCTGGTGGTTTTTTACCTCGTGATGCCTGGCAGAAAGTGGGAGAAGAAGCACTAAAGTACTTCAGAAGAGCCCCTACCTTTCACTATATGTAAGTTCCTTTAAGGAAATACTATATCCTGCAGCACAAGGTAATGCCCTTAATGGAGTCTTATCTTTAATGCCCTGGGCTTGAACAGAGTTTAATCTGAGGTCACAGCAGAGTGTCAGCAAGGACTTCTGTGTGATCTTTCTTCTTCTGGTACAGTGAACTCCTCATCTCCAAAATATTTAATAATATTTCTTGCTTTGGTTTTGGTTTGGCTACAGAATAATATCACTAGCCAAAGTATTCTTGAAATGCCATCAGAAGTGATCCTCTTTCCTCTGCAGCCAGAATCAGGAATACAGGAGCCTTTTTGGTTGGTTGTTTTTTTTTCTTTTTTCTTTCTGAGACAGTTCCAGAATGTCAGTCCAGGGAGGTCTGTATCTTTTACCTGATGATTGTATTAGTGTGAAGAGACTGACAGTTGTTCTTGTACATCTGTGTTGATGGATTGTCTCTTAGAGTCTTGCAGTGGATCTCCTGAGAAAAGTGTAAAGTAATGACTGATATCTAAAGATAAAGCTTCATCACATTCAGAGATTTCTGGAAAGAACCATCCCCAAGAGTTGCTCCCAATATATTGGCAGCCTCATACCAGAACATGTATAGATTTCTAAGCATGCAGTGTAAACCACATTTCCATGTATGTGTTCTTTGTATTTCTGTTAGGTTGGGATCTTTCAAGTCTGATCCTCCTGTAGCAAAGCAACGGATTGAGAGGCAGAAAAAGGCTTCAAAAGGAGAAGCAAAACAGATGATGCCTGCTCAGGTTTGTAAAGCGTTACCTTTATTAACCATTTATTCTGACATAGTTATTACTAGTGACTTCTAAATCTTTCTGTTCATGTTGGTTTGGATTTTGTAATTCCAAACTGTGTAGTACTTGTGACATCCCACCCTTGAGGGGAAGGGATCAGCCAAGATTCATAGATGCTTGTGCTGTCCTGGGTTGTGCTGTAACTCCAGGAGCCAAAACAAGGATGTTTGTCACAGAAAAGTGCTGCCCTACCTCCATATCGTTCTTTTTCCAGCCACATCCTGTTCTTTCTCACAGTGTGTTATTAGCACAGTCCTTGGTTGTTGCTACCAGCAATCCTTGTTTGGCTCCGTGGCCATCCAGCTGTGTTTGAACCATACACATCAGCCCTTTCTGGGCTTCTACAGTACCAAAGGACTCAGACTTCATTATTAGGCCTCTTGATTTGTTTGTGTGGACTGCAGTGTTTCACTGAGTGGAGGGAAATAGGATTTACAGACTAATTTCATGTTCAGAAATATGATTTACACACTGATTTTTCAAGTTCAAATGAGCTTACTTGCTCTTATGCCTGTTGCTTTAAAAGGAAACAAAAAAGAAGCTTCTTTACATGGGCGTGGTTTCCGTTTTTCTGTAAGAAGTGTCTGACAGGGTGTGGCATTTGCCCTGAAATGTGATTAACAGCAGTTAATTAGCTCACTTAACCACTGTTTTTTCTGCCTTCTGTTTCCCTCTTCTTTCTGTCATGCACTGGCAGAAAGGCAGAAGTCTGGGCATACTTAGAGACTTGACATCTGAAACTTTGAAAACATAAACCATGGTGTTTTAGGGAAGCTCAGGCTGTGATAATGCCAGGACATGGAGGCAAAAGCTTGATTATTGTTTTCTAAAATACTTAACAGTGATTGAAATAGTGATAGGAAGGATTCTGTTGCACTTTGTACTGGGAAGAAGAGGAGCTGGAGGGTTTTCGAGTTGCTTAAAAATGATCTATATTAACCTCACAGACTGTACCACAGTGTATCCCAATTCCATAGAGCTATTGAAGAGTAAGTGTAGCCCTTAATGGGTTCAAAACATACAAGCCATGGCCTTTCAGGTTGATATTTTAAGATGGGACCTAAACCCTAAAGCTCTTAGCAAGCTGTCTCATGTTTGCATAAGTGTGTTTGTAATAGTGCATGTTGGGAGAAAAATTCAGCTTTTATGTTCTGTGTTCATAAAAGACCCTGTAATACAACAGTGGTTATTTGAGGTGAATCTGTGTTTCTTTTTCACAGTTAAATCAAATGGAGGAGTCTCATGACGAAACTACAGAAAAAGAAGTAGAGAGGATCTTGGGAATACTGAACACTCTCTTTGAAAATGATCGTAAGTATGAGGAAATTGGGCATTAATTGGTGAAAATGAATATTTGCTGTTTTTTACAGTTAGGAGTGGTTAAACTGCCAAAATGAGGTGAAGTTTGCAAGCACAAATCTTCATGTGGAAGCACATATACCAACTATGGATTTGTTACGAACACTCATCAGGGGCTGTTTGACTGCAAAGTCAATGTGAATCCTCTCCCCCTGATTAGAGCCTGCCACTTTTTAGAAGGCAACCAAGTAATCACTGCTTATGGATCTGCATGGGGGAAAAGATGGAAGAAAATAATAAACTCTATGGAAGATTTGTTTCTTTTTGCAGGCAGCTGGGAATTCAGCATTGTAACTAAATTGACAAACATTCTGTTAGGTTTTGAAAGGAGTACTGTCTCTCTTAAGTTTGTTTTACACCTTTTAACTCTGTTTTAACAAAGCCATTTTTGCACCTCCAGCTGAAACACCTATTTCCTTCTTTGATTTTGTGATTGATCCAAACTCCTTTGCACGCACTGTGGAAAACATGTTTCATGTGTCCTTCCTTATCAGGGTAAGGCATGATATGTTCTTGAAATCTCACTTTAGATATTGGAATTATCTAGACATCCTGATTTGTTGTTTTTATGTCTTCAAGATCGAAAAATTAGGTTTCAAATATGAGGAATACTAATTTATTTTCTACAAACAGCCCGTGATATTTTGGTAATCAAATAAAAAAGAAAATAGAGTTGACAGACTGATTTTTTTTCTTAGATCTTTCTGCTGCAATCGATTTACCAACAAAACAATTGTGAAATTTTGCTGTCAATACGCTTTTCAGAAAAGATTCTGGCTCACATTTCAGATATAAGAAAGTAGTCACAGAGTATAGAAGAGTTATTGAGGTTGTAGAAGAGTATGTTAGTGCAGGGGTTTATATGCACTTCAAACTATATTTAGTTTGTCTAATAAATAAAATTAATTTTAAAAGACAAAAACTGACAAAGATATTCTGACTAAATTCAGGTTTATAATGAATAGTGATGTGATTTGGTTATGAAGGGTTACCTTCAAGTGTATTTAATGAATAATAATGATTTTAATAAAGCAAAACTTTTATAATCCAAGTTAGCCACTGTTCCATATGGGCTGCATTCTTCATTAATAAGTGCTATATTTAAATACTTTTGTCCTATTTGTTATGCCAAGGAAGATTCTTTATCAATATATGTACTAGTTTATGATTATGTATTAAGTAAAAACACGAAATCTCAGTGCATTACCCTAACTGGATAACTCTAACTTCTGAAACTTTAAATCCCACTGTATTTTAGGATGGTCTTGCAGAAATAAGGCTGGATGATGATAAATTGCCAATAATAGGTAAAATCTAGCTTTTAAAAGAGCCTAATTGTTTTTTGCTACATTACATGTTACACATTCACAAAGTTTCAGGTTTATTTTTAGCTGGGGACAGTGAATGTAATTGAAGGTATGAAGAGATTTATGAGGAGTTGAAAGGATTGAGTCTTTTCAAATATCAATATATGAAAAAAGACCATTATGATGGTTTATACAAATTAATTCTATTAAAATAAATCAAAGATTATTACCTTTCAAGTTACATTTTTGCTAAAGTATTTCTTGTGTGCAAGAAGTCTCCGTTGTCTCGCTTGAGTTGGGAACTGCTGCAGCTTCAAAACATTTGGAAAGGAAATTCCATGCTACACAAGGACTTTGGCTTTCATTCCCACAGGATATCAATGGGGTTAAGACTTTGGTGGGATTTCATAAGGAATGAAATACTTACATCTTTCTGGGACTCTGCAAAACATTAGTTCCTAAATATTGAAGAGGTGGGACGAAGGAAATCTCTTCAGCAGTGTATGGTACAGGCTGTTGAGAGAGAGAAAGTGGGGGGAACATGCAGAATTGATTTGATTTTTGTGGAGCTTTTGTGTTCCTGGTGGACACTAACTTTGCAAGTGTAAATACTGAAACTACTGTGTTTTGATCAGAGTCTACAAAATTCAGGAGAGTAGGGGAGGAAAACCGAGGACCTGGAGCACGGAAACAAGTTGTCATGTCTCTGACCCAGGAGGAATGGAAGGTACCATAGAGACCGTTTGATACTTTGGATTAGTTCTTTTTTCCTTAAATGTAGGAATGCATCTGAGAGCTGGGCTGTTGATGCTCTCAGGAGGAGAGGTGTTCCCATGTACATCATCACTGCATTTGACCTTACGGGTGCCAGAACAATCACAGATCTAATGGGTGTTTTTAACTGCAAGAAAAGTGAGAACTGGGATAGCAATTCCATCTTTGATCCCTGAGGTCTGGTCAGTTTTAAGCTGTGCACTGACTTGCCTTTACTATTTTATATGAGACCTGTGTAAATACAGAGTCTGTTTCTTCCCTTCCATATACTTACTTCTGGAGGGGAAGTTCTCCTCACTATTTTGCTGTTTGTAGTAAACCTCAGAAGACAAAAAGTAGTTTTGAGCTCATACAGCTCTTCTCCTTTGTCCCTCACTTGGAATATGCAGGAGAAACATAATAATCTGAAATGGTGCTTTAGTGTGAGAAATTTCATTATTAATTAATTAGTAATTAATTTAAAATAGTAATTAGTAATTAATTAGTAATTAAATTAAAATAGTTCAGCTCTTGTGACTGACTGATTGCTGTCATCTCTAACCAGGAGATCATAGAAGTATTTGAAATAAGAGAAGCCATGATTAGCCCTCCTTTTCAGAGCACTGAAGAGGAAATGGAGACAGAGTAATTTTCCAAGTAAGTTCTTTTAATAAATCAAACTCAGTAAGGATCCAGTGCATGAGTTCCTTATGCACCTGGAAGAACTGCAGGGAAACTACATGGCACTTAAAAATGTAGGACTGTAAGCAGGGTGACTGTAATATGTGGAACATTGCTGTGTTCTTGCTCTCTTCATGGAACAAAATGTAATCTAGTCTTGTATGCAGTAATTAACTGGGGGGAAAAAATCCTTTATTTTTACATTTCTTGGTCTGTTCAGTGCTAGACTTGAGTTAATTTTTGGAACTTCATACTTGGAATGCAATGTTGGGAAGAATCATAGCTTAGTTTTTCTGTCTGTTTTTTTAACTTAGTGGCAGCTGATGTTGTTAATACAAGGAGTCTGAAGAAGGACTTAGAGGGAACCAGACTGTCTTCTGTTCCTACTTCCCTAAAATTTTTTCAGTGATAGGACTGAATTCTTTTACTGTCACAGTTGTTTCTTAAGTTCCAAATTTTATTGCATATTGTCTTACTTTTTCTTTTTCTCTTCCCCTAGGTGCCTTATACTTCACAATGTTTTCCTCAAGAACTGTTTTATGTGTATATATTGTAAAATTAAATTCATTCGTATCGGAACATCTCAACACTATATAAGCTGCTTTGTTCAGAATCATGGAATGGTTTGGGTGGGAAGGGACCTTAAAGCTCACCTTGTTTCACCCCCTGCCATGGGGAGGGTCACCTTCCACTGTCCCAGGTTGCTCCAAGCCCTGTCCAACCTGGCCTTGGACACTTCCAGGGATGGGGCAGCCACAACTTCCCTGGGCAACCTGAAAAAAAGTTTAGACTTGTCACAGGGTTATTACTATATACTGGCTTAGTTTACTACTTTATATAAAGTTTACTGACACTCACCAGCTTTTATAACAGGGAAACACTGCCCCCCTTCCTTCCTCCCTTGTCTTTCCCCAGCAGCGGCAGCAGCAAGTAGAATTCACCTGGTTATCCATCCCTCTTGGGATAATCTTGCTATCCACGTGATTTTGGGTGTTGCAGGAGAAGTTGATAGTGTTCTCACTGTTCCAGAAATAAAGGTTTGAGTTTGGAAATTTGGTCCCAATTACAGATAGCAATTCCCCTTTCTGTTTTTCCAGACTCCACCTGTGTGTGGTGGGTAACTTAGGCAGGCCAGCTCTATGGAGCCACGATATTATTTTGTTAAATATTAATAAAGTCTAGCTCCCTTTCCAGAAGATGCTCTGTGGGGGAGCACTGCCTCTGGAGTTGCAGAAAAGTGAAAAGTAGATTGGTGTGCAAGGTTTTACGTTCTTTTTGAGTCCCTAGATTTGCACTTCAAACTATAGTTTGAATTTTAGAATTTTAATTAGTTAAAATTAATTTTCTAAAATTACAGTTTTAGAAAAGACAAAACCTGACAGTTATATTGTCTAAATTGAGGCTTACAGCGAATGGTGATTTTTTCTTCCATCCATTTATCCTGCTGAAGCAGCCGGGTACAGAGGGATCTGGCAAATTGTTGCGAGGGTGTTTGTGGGGGTGAGAAACCGGTCAGGTCGCGAGGGAAACACGGTTAGAGCATCCAAGCCGAGCCGAGCGCGCTGTTCTGTTGCAAACCCGGCCCTGAGGGGAGGCGTGGGCACGGCCCGGGCGGGGGCGCTGCGAGGCCGCCGGCGCCATGCCCGCCGCCGTGGTGGAGTACAAGGGCTGGAAGGAGGGGCGCGGCTGCGGCTACTGCGGCTCGGAGCGGGGCAAGGTGTCGGCGGGTGAGCGGGGCCGGGGCGCGGCGGGCGGGCCGGGCCCGGGGGTGTCCCTGGGGCCCTCAGCGCTGAGGGGAACCCGCCGCCGCTGCCCGGGGGAAACATGGCGGCGGCGCCGCTTCCTGCGCGCGCCGCCCGCGCGCTGCCCGCAGCCAAGATGGCGGCGGGCGGCGTTTCCGGGCGGCCCGGGGCGCTGCCCTAAGGCGGGCGGGCACCGCGGGGATGGCGGCGGGCGGCGGCTCCCCGAGCATCGTGGAGTTCTTCGGCGGGGAGGATGGCTACCGCTGCGGATACTGCAGGAGCGACACCGGCAACCTCTCGCACGGTGCGGGCGGCGCGGGGAGCCGCGGGCGGGCCGGCCGGGTGCTGGCGGGGAAGGGGCGGCGGCGGGCGCGGGGCCGAGGGAGGGCGGCGGGGAAAGGCGGCGGCACCGCTGCCCGCCCCGCCCGGAGCTCCGAGCTCCTCTTACGGCCCAGTGCTTCCAGCTGGTCGTAAGAGAATTAAGCGGCAATTTCGTGTTGTTTTCCTGGGTTATTTCGGGGAAAGGAAGGAGGTGGAGAGATAAACTTTGCGCTTGTACAGTCGGAGAAAAACAGTTGCCTGCATCCCGAGATTTGTGTTGGGATTGGGGTTTTTACACGTAATGTGGCTGTTGAAGTCAGTAATCACGATATTAACGAATATGCCAAATCCTTGAAAGACATCTGCGTATACTCAGATTTGCAATAATCACAGAATCATAGGATGGTTTGAGTTGGAAAGGATCTTAAAGGTCACCCGGTCCCACCCCTTGCCATGGGCAGGGACACCTTCCACTATTCCAGGTTGCTCCAAGCCCCGTCCAACCTGGCCTTGGACACTTCCAGGGATGGGGCAGCCACAGCTTCTCTGGGCAACCTGTGCCAGGGCCTCCCTTCCCTCACCACCAAGAATTCCTTCCCAATATCCCGTCTAACCCTGCCCTCTGGCACTGGGAAGCCATTGCCCCTTGTCCTATCACTCCATCCCTTGTCCCAAGTCCTCTCCAGCTCTCCTGGAGCCCTTTTAGGCGCTGGAAGGGGCTCTAAGGTCTCCCTGGTGCCTTCTCTCCCAGCCCCAGCTGTCCCAGCCTGTCTCAATAGCAGAGCTGCTCCAGCCAGTTCCGCAGAACTTGCATTTTAAAGCCCAGCTGTGGTCGGTCAAGTGTTGCTGTGTTATTTATTTCAGGCATGTGGGCACATTCGATGACAGTTCAAGATTACCAGGATCTCATAGACAGAGGATGGCGAAGGTAAATCGAGAAAGAAAATACAAAGCCCTGTTGTCAGTTTAGATACAGCTTAGAGTCCACATTTAAAATTTAGATCTCTGAAAATAGTTAGCTAGTTTCCATTGGTAATTGCAATAAAACTATTTGTCCAGTACTCTGGGACTCTTTGTAACGTGACACTGTCGAACAGGAAAAGCTTTAATGATTTTGGAAGGATAACAATGTAGTGTAGCAGCAAAGAGCTGAAGAATTTGCTTCTCGACTTTTGTTACTCATCATGTAATACTTTGATATGATATTAATAAAAAAGGTTCTTCTTCCATTTATGTTTTGATATAAACAACAAAAAATCAATTCATATTTATTACTATTTTCAGGAGTGGAAAATATGTCTACAAACCTATTATGAATCAAACATGTTGTCCTCAATACACAATAAGGTAAGAAGCTCAAAATACGGTTGTGTAAGGGATTTGACCACTTCAAATTTGTTCCACCATTTCTGTTTATGGCTTGAAATACATCATATTTGGAAAGTTTATCTACTTTTAGTGATAGTTGGAATAGTAAATATGTACTGTTGGGTTTGTGCATAAGGACATCAACAGCTCTAGGATATTTTCCTGTAAAGAATCTTGTCTTTAACCCACAAACTGCCTTAGTAGCCCAAATAAGAGGGGCTTACACACACATTTTAGTGATTATAGTGATAAAAACACAAAACATGCCATGAGGACTGATGTTATGCAGTACAAGACAACATAAATTTCATTAAATCAAAAACGTTGATAAAATATTTGATCACTTAATATAGAAGAACTTCAGAGATAAATAGAAATTACATATGCAGTGTAATTTTTTTTAAGTGGCTCCTTAACATTTTCTTAAACTTTCACAAAAGAAATGTTCATAATTTTTAATTTTTTTAGGTGCCAGGCTTTGCATTTTCAGGCCTCCAAATCTCACAAGAAGGTTCTGAAGAAAATGCTGAAATTTCTTTCCAAAGGAGATGTTTCCAAAGTAGCGAGCGAAGGTAAGAAACTCGTAGTGTTCGAAAACCAGAGCTGATGTTTGGGAGGAGGATTAAATACCTTTTGTGTACAGACCCCTGGATGGGTTGTGTCTTTGCAGTGGGTTTTGAATCAAGAGCACTTCAGAAGCCCAGAGACCAAGTCGTGCAGGTGACTTGTGCTAATGAAGGTGTTCCCTTGCTTTTTCCATAGACCAGATTATTTTCCTAGGCACGTTCCTCCTTTCTAGCTGGGAGCTGTAGAGGATTAGACTCTGTTTTTACTTCTGCCATAAAACTGGCAATCTGGAGAGGATCAAGCAGAGTGGTTGGTGGCAGAGAAAAGGAAGAGCAAACAAAGAGGTTTTTTCCTGGTGATTGAACAGTCACACCTCATTTATCCAGCACCAAACCGAGCTATTCTCCATTGTGGTGGAACTTGTGTTGGTTCTGAACCATTATAATTTGCCCTTTTTTGTGTGTGTGTGGTATGCTAGGAGTTTTTTTTGGCTCTTTTTTGTTGTTTGATTGCAGCTATGGCCTGAGATCAGTTGACTGTCCTGTTTTAGTGGAGAGAATAAAACCGTTCCCAAAAATGAATTGGTGTTCATAATTCGGGGTCATAAAGGAAACTTTGTTTTCAGACTCTTACAAATACTTTATGTGTTTGAAAACACTTGTAAAATTGGAAATCAGTTACTTTAGTATTAATTGTAGTTGTGCAAAGTGTGAGCTGTGGTTACACAGAGAGAAATTCAGTCCTGCATGTTCTGATTGTCTGCAGAGGAGCCGATGGATTCCCACATAGAGGATGCGGTCGCCTGTGATTTTCCATACAAAAGTGAGTCTCAGGTCAGTCAGTCTGAACTGACTCCCTTGGGTGTGGATCACACTGAGAGTGTGCAGAATGAAGATAAGGACTCAGGGGAAACAAAAGAAGAGGTGAATGTGCAGAAGGTGGAGTCGGATTCTCTCCAGACCTGTGCAGCCAAGGACACACCAGTCCCTGGAGAACCATCACACTCGGCTAAAGTTGTTCATGCACCACCTAAGCCAGGTAATCACATTTCTGGTAGTCATTGGAGTATACTGCCATGATTTCACATCTTGTTGAAGTCCTTCTTTTATCTTGCCTAGTAAATCAATCATTGTTTTGTTTTACTCCCTGTGCTCCTCCCAGTTTATGGAACTACAGTGGGTGTTACTTGTTTTCTTAGTGTTTCCTGAAAGTTACATTGATTTTCATTATGTATTTTTTAAAATCTTATTTGCATTATATTTTTTTTAAATTATTTTTACTTTCAGTTAAGTTATGGTGAGTACATAACTACAGACAATAGTTTCCTGTAAGCTGTTTAGACTGCAGTCAGATAGGTCAACATGATAGAATCTCATCAGACATTGGGATCAGTTCCCAGTTCAGGATACTTTTGTGTGCAGAAGAAGATGTGCAGCCCAGCTTTCCCTTCCTTCTATGGGATGTGGTGACTCAGGCTTTATGTACCTTGAGATATGGCTCATGGATTCATAGAATATCTCAGGTTGAAAGGGACCCATAAAGATCATCTTGTCTAATTCCCTGATTATCCAAGCTGGATACAGTTTGCTGGTTTCTGAGTTAGGTCAAGGCTTAAGCTTGTTTCTTGTGCAGTGGTGGGAAACCAGTTTAAGACCCACAAAAAAGATCCCAGGTATTATTTTTATATTTCTTAATTTCTGTGGTTTATTTTGTCATATAAACTCTACTGTTTATACTATGCAAATAACTTAAGACTGCATTTTTCACACTTTGATAAAGTCTTTGCCACAGATCTAAGTAACATTGGAAATAAGTTTGGTGTATTGTGTTGTTATCTTGTGGGCTTAAAGAAAATCAGATAGCTCTCTGCTGATTAAAAAAAAACCCAGATTCTTCTGGTCCTCTATAAAGAATAACATTTTCTAGGTGAGCTTTTTCATCTGTTTGGGAGCTTTCCTTGTTTCAGATTTTGAGTAACTTTAGAGAAGAAGTATCACTAGAGGATTGGAAACTATGTAGGAATTTCTCCTTTTTGTCTTGCAGTGAACTTAATTTTACATTTCTGTAAGGAGATGCAGTAAGTACATACAAGAAGTAAAGCAATCTCTCTCATTTTACTTCTCTAGTTTTACTTCTCTCTCATTTTACACATTGCTACAGCTCTCATGTGCCAAAAACTGAAGTAAAAAAATGCTTATTCCTATCTACAGTTTTATGGGAAAGTCCATGGAATCTTGGAGGCATTTTAATATAACACTAAAAATTTTTAATATAATACTGATTTTAATAGTATGGTCACTCTCTTCAATATTGAAGTTATCACTCAGTCAAGCTTCTTTTATTATAATTTATCTTATTGATTTATTTGTTAGAATAAAAAGTTGTATTTATCTTCTTATCCTCACCTCTAATTTCTTAAGTAATAAATGAAAAACTTAGGCCTGTGTAAACTTCAGTTTGGAAGCAAACCAAGTGGCCGCTGACAGCAGGTGGCAGACTTGGGTAAAGATTAGGAGTGTAAACCTGCTATGAAAAAGGTGAGCTGAGGTCTTCAGTGAGGCTTAGAATAACCTCGGGTCAAACTTTAAACACGGGAAATGCAGATAAG